AGTTCTTCTGTCTTTTTGTCAGTTTCTTTCCTTCTTCCATTAACAAATAAAACCCGAAACAGTATGATGTTACCTGGACAGAACTCACCTCCTTCTCTGCCCTGTTGCTTCTCAAAACCATTAAAAAATATTTTCAGTCATGTCCCTCCCAAAGCTAGTCCCTTGAGTCTCTCCCATTTAACCTCCCACTGCTCCAAGCGTCATTTATTCACTCCAACCCTTTGTATCCCGTAGCAGTTTTTGACCCACAACAGGATGCTGCCCCTTACTCCGCAGATATTTATTTTCCTTAAGAGTCTCCTGTGAGGAACTCTACCAAAAAGCCTTTTAAAAAATCCAAGTAAATTATGTCCAGAAGTGCCCTTTATCCCATTTGCTGTATTAACTCTTTCTCAGGTTTTGGCAGGCTCAGAAATCACAGATTTCTGGGTCTGCTGCTTTCATGCTCCTCCCCATGAGCTGTCTGTTCAAAAATCTGACCAGATATTTGCAGGGCTGGGATGCTCTGAAGGACTCATCCAGAACTGAATTCCTCAGGATTCTACCAAACTAAAGATCCACAGAACCCCAGAATATGGTGCCATCTTAACACAGGGAGGGATTTTATAATAAGGGCAAAACTGTGGAGTCCATATGAATGTTCCCATTTTAATTAGCCTGATCTCCCTTATGGAAAGTATAGAAAAGTTACTTTCTTGCCTATTTTCAGATTTTGGTCAATTTTCTGTATCTTTCATTTGCTGGTTGGGTGGGTTTTTTTCTTTTTAAGTTTCTGCTTATTTAAGACCATGTTTGTTATTTTCATGCTTTCATTATGGGATATTTTAGGCAATCATAATTTAAGAAAAAATCATTATTTTTTTCAAATAGAAAAAAATCATTTTTCAACATGAGATCCTTGGTTCATTCCCTGGCATCTCCACAGAGCCACTGCTGTGTAGCCTTTCAGAAGGACCTTGACAAGTTGGAGGGATGGACAGAGGACTGTCTGAAGTTCAACAAAGGCAAGTGCAGGGTCCCATACATGGGAAAAAATAATCCTGTGCCCCAGCACAGGCTGGGGCCAACCTCCAGGAAAGCAGCTCTGTGGAGAAGGAGCTGGGGGTCCTAGGGGACAAGAAACTGTCCCTGAGCCAGCGGTGTGTCCTTGGGGCCAAGAAGGGCAATGGTATCCAGGGGGGCATTAGGAAGAGCACTGCCAGCAGGTTGAGGGAAGTGGTTCTGCCGCTCTGCTCAGCCCTGGTGAGGCCACATCTGGAGTGCTGTGTCCAGCCCTGGGCTCCTCAGTGCAAGAGACAAAAGCAGCTACTGGAGTGGGTTCAGTAGCGGGCTACGAACACGATTAAGGGACTGGAACATCTCTGTTACCGGGAAAGGTTGAGGGAGCTGGGCTTGTTGAGCCTCAGGAAGAGAAAGCTGAGAGGGGGTCTTATCAATGTCTGTAAGTATCTTAAAGGGGGGGCTGTCAGAGGACAGAGCCAGGCTTTGCTTGGTGGTGCCAAGCAATAGGATGAGAGGTAACACGCAGAAATTGATGTACGGGAAGTTCCACCTGAATATGAGGCAGAGCTTCTTTACTGTGCAGGTGATCACACACTAGATTGCCGAGAGGGGTTGTGGAGTCTCCCTCACTGGAGATGTTCAACAACAGTCTGGATGGAATTCTGTGCAATGTGCTCTGGGATGACCCTGCTTGGGAAGGGAGGTTGGACCAGATGACCCACCGCAGTCCCTTCCAACTTTATCCATTCTGTGATTCTGTGATCACAGTTTTGAGTACAAGTGTAAATTAACTTCAAGAAAAAGGGAAAAGTATTATCATTTTGCCAACCAGCTGTTCTTTAAATTTACCTGCATGGGATTGAAACAAAACATGATTTCCTAGTATGTAAGACATTGCCAAGATCTTTGTTTGAATATCATCTGTAAGTTTGGTATTCAGCTTTTGGAAAGGTTTAAAAACTGAATGGCTGAAAGAAAGAGCTGTGAAAATGATGGAAAGCCTAGGAAAAAAACTTGGAAATGAGAGTGAAGAAAGTTATTCTACTTAGCCTACCAGAGTGCAGGATAAGAAGTAATTTGACCTGTAGGAATCTACACAGGAAGATGGTATTTGATATTTCAGTCCTCTTTAATCGAGCAAACAAAGGAAAATGAAGTCCAATGGCCAGAAGCTGAAGATGGAAAAATTAAAGGAGGAAATAAGGTGCAGCTTTTTGCCTTTTTTTTTTTTTCTTAAATAGACTGAGCAATTAACCACTGGAGCAATTTCCAAGAATGGAAAAATCATCCATCACTCGAGGTTCTGAAGTCAAGACTGGATGGCTTTCTGAAGTGCATATCCCATGTCAGTGCCCAGTCAAGAGTGTCATGCAGGACCACTGTAATTCCATGGATCAGGTCCTGTAGGAGGTCAAAACCAATTACCATAATTGCAGTGTCTGTCTTAAATTCCCTGGACATCCATGGCCCTTTCTCCACCACACTCCTGAGACATGACTACTAAAAGCTGCACGTCGGAAACCTCTGTTTAGGCTGAAAACATATCTAAAGGAAAAACTGCCATGATGTCCTTTCTTTTGCTCTCTGCCCATGGCCTCTGGGAATGCAGAGGCATCACTGAACCCACAGTACCTTTCCCCAACACTTGTCTTGATGGTGCACATATGGAAAGACTTCCTGAGTCCAATCCCTTCCTACCAATCCCCTCCCAAAGCTGGGCAGTGGATCCCTGCCTGTCATTGTCTCTCAATCCTGGCAGCCCCCCAACCAAGCTATTTCCAAATCCATCACCCTGTGTCTTTCCCTGCTGGGGTTTGTCTTTGTGAATTCTCTTCATCATATTTGATTTTGCTGGGATGTTTGCCCCAGTATTGGCAAACCACATCTGCCTGTGCCCTAAGACCTCTGCCTGAAACTGGTCTCATTGTTTTCATGCATTTACCCTAAATTTCTGCCGCTTCCTGGTGTTTCATGCCTTGCATTAGCAAAGCGAGGTTACCATGTGAACCCAAAATGGGGCAGCCCAAAGGTCCTCTTACTCCTGCTGCCTGTCTCTGGCAGCACAAAGCGCTGATGCAAAGGGTGAGAACAGGAACTGTGCACGCTTTTGTTCTCCCATTTTCAGGAAACTCTTGTTGTGTGTTTATAGAGCACCTCGCAGAGCTGGCCCGCGATGCAGGTTCCCCAGGGGCATGCTAAGAGGAACCGTCACTATCAATTACTGCAATTATTGCAATTATAATAATTATTATTCTGTCACTTAAATTTCAGCAATTAATTTTTCCAGAGTCTAGTTTAAGCCATTTTCTCTCTGCCAGATGCTGATCACAGCAAGAGCGAGGTGCAGCATCTGCTGCTGATCAGAATCTGGTTTAACTCATGAAACACTGCAGAGGCAGGTGCCTGGTAAAGTGCAGACATGGGTCTCTTTAATGGGTCAGAAAGAGCCCATCAAAGCAGCTGAGTGTGCAGTGTGATCTTCACGCTGCAGACCAGGCACATTGCAGGCTGGACTAAGACTACAGTAATCTGGGCTATAAGGGTTCAGAGCCAGGATGTTATCAGACTAAGGGAAGGGTGGGGTGTGCATTATTCCACTTAAGGCAGCTGAAGGCTGTGTCTCTGAGCTATGGTAGCTATCTAGCAACCCACCAGGAGAGCCTGGCCACGCTAAGGAGCAGTTCATCCCATCCTTATAGGAGCATCTGCAACCACTGGGTCACCTCACTCTCTGGAGACACCTTTGTTTCTCCACTGGTATTACTGAAGCCCAAAGGGTTTGTTTAGACCAGACACCTACCAGGACGAGAATCCTACCCTTCATGTTCTTAATTGCAGGTTTGATAAGAAAGCTTGACATGTGGATCCATCCATCTGGGGGTTTGGGAATCGTCAGTTCAAGATAAACATAGAAAGGACAAAGCCAGTGATATTTTCCTTTCATCTCACAGTATCAAGTGACATTAATAACACACTGTTTTGGTAAAAATTAGTGCACAGTATACAGGTCATCTTCCCGTGTGACAGCTCTGAGACCTAAACTGAGCATCAGTTGGACAGGTCCATTGAGAAGCATTTAGGCATCTCCATTTGCATCAGCTCAGAGCTGTCTTATACCATATTCAGGGTGTAACATTAACCTCAAACAACAAGATGCTCTTTCCTTGGGTGTCACTGCTGCTCTTCTTAGTAAGCTCTCTTCTACTGCAAACTCTGAGGAATTCTGCATCCAGGCCAGCAAATTTAAAATGAAGTCAGAGAACTGTCTCTCATTCTTGAAATGACTGAAGGTTTATAATAGATATTCAGTACACTGTTGTATGGAAGGGACTGAATGATATCTTTGAGTCTTTCAGTAACAAGACAGTAGGCAGGAACCAGGAGATTGCTGCTATCTTATTACTTGATATTGTGTCCTGCTTTCCAAAAGACCTCTAGTTAATTAGAAGAGGATAAAAAAAATTGCTGCTATAATGACTTGATTTTGGGGAAGGTTGTCTTCTACTGAGGAATTCACTTTTGTTATTTATCCAAGGGAAAACTAAGAGGCAATTTGATCATGGCCTATGGGTCTGGTCATTGAAAAAAGGTCTGGGGAAATAAATGGGACTTTGATTTACTGGGAAAATACAGCTAAAAATCCAGTGACTGCAGCAGAAATGCAGTCATGCTGGGAAAAAAGTGCAAAAACTGAGGGCATAACGAGGTAGGGCTTTACAGGGTTTCCCTTACTTATCTTAAAGTCAAGATTAAGGCTGTGCTGTGGTGCACACAAATATTATGTGCCTGATGCAGAAATTGGTGAGGTGGATCTTTGGTCTCCTTTACTGCTCTTTGTTATGTTGGATTCTCTAATTCTCAGGGCTACAAACTATTGCATTACTTGCATGAGAATAGATAAAAAGCCTTTCTCGCATACAGCAGTATGAGTTAACAGTGTAGCAAATAATCTGCCATTTTAGGTGTCAGGGACAATATTTGTTCTTTAAAAGACACTATTTAATTTCACTTATGTGTTTTCTTGAATGTTTATTGGTGATCCATGGGAAGACCTCTGGAGAAAAAAATAAAATAAATGGACAAGAAACCAGGCATGAAACATCTTCCTTTCCATTTTCCTTCTCCAAATTAAGAAAAAGAAAAAATAAAGGGCCAGATTCTTCAGGATCCATCAACAAAGGCCATGTTTAATGCTGCGTAAACTGTGGGAAGTTTTCTATTATTTCAGTAGTCTTTTTAGTGAGCTCTTCTTTTCATAGTTCTTCAGCTGAAAAATAGAATAGAAAATAAGGATAATTTTTCTCTTGGTTGATAGCAGCAGACTGCAAGCTGAAACCCAGGGCTGTGAGTGGGGTTTCTGGGGTGGTCCCAAGGTGAGGCTGGACCCTGGCTCTGCTCTCACATTTTTAAAGGGCTTTGGATCAGCAGGACTGGAGGTTTGTTACACAAAGGCAATTCACTCAAGGTAACTGATCAAAAACGAGATGGAGAGGTGGGACAAATAAATTGTGTAAACACCTTAATAGGTGTGCTGGATTTGCTTGGGATAGAGTTAATATTTTCAGTAGTGACTGCTATGGGGCTGTGATTTGGACTTGGGCTTGAAACACTGTTAGTTACAGGGATGTTTTAGGTATTGCTGAGCAGTGCTCACACAGAGTCAAGGCCTTCTCTGCTTCCTACCCCACCTGGAAGGAGGCTGTGGAGGGTTCGGAGGGGACACAGATGGGACAGCTGACCCCAACTGACCACAGGGATATTCCATATCTTATGGTGTCATGCTCAGCATATAAAGCCAGGGGAAGAAGAAGTAGAGGGGGCATGTTTGGAGAGATGGTGTTCGTCCTCCCAAGTAACTGCTAGGTGTGAGGGAGCCCATCTTTCCTGGGGATTGCTGAACACCTGCTTGCCCATGGAAGTGGTGGTTGAATTCCTTGTTTTGCCTTACCTATTAAACTGTTTTTATCTCAACCCATGAGTTTTCTCACTTCTACTCTTCTGAATCCCTACCCCATCCCTACATCGGGAGAGTGAGCGAGTGCCCGTGTGGGGCCTAGTTGCTGCCTGGGGTTGACCCATGACACTGAGGAATAAGTACCATTTCTTCAATCTAACAAAGGATGATACCAGTCAGAATGAGCAGCTAGAATTCAATTCAGGCAGGCAAAATTCAGTTCAGGAGGGAAGCACAGGTTTTTCACCGTGAGACTGATTAACCACTGAAACAAACAACGAAGGAGGCAGTGGGTTCCAGCCCTGTTCATATATGGATGGGGCTAACATACCATAAGGAGCCACAGGTGGATCCTAAATGGGGGGAAATTGGGCTGCATGGGGTGACGGAACATGTACTGGCAGTTGTAACCTGGAGAAGCTCTGCCCTCCAAGTTTCCACTGGCCAGGGGGGCTGATCATGTGGTCCATTTGCTGTTGCAAACACAGGCAGGACTTCTAAACTAGGAACATGCAGAGGCATTTCAGCAGGTTCTGCTTAGCTACAATTGCATAATGAAGTCCTTTAAGGAGTAAATGTTTCTGTTTAGTTCACTAATAGGGCTTCATTAAGAGCCTTTATAGACCAAAAGACAAAGAGTAACCCAATCAAAGGTTCCTGATGAAAACAGCAAAATAGGAAAACCAGAAAACAGCAAAATAGGAAAACCAGAATTTACTACATACCAAGAATGTGTGAGCCCATTCCCTGCAATGAACTGAGATGTAGTTTCTTCCTTTACTTACAAGGACATTTAGAGCTAGTTTGCCTAGTAAAAACATGCGCACAAAGAAACATAAGCCCAGGGATGTGTCAGTGTTCCCAAGGATTGGTCCTGGCTCGGATGGAGTACATCCAGCTTGTTTTGTAGACTGCAGGAAGGTAGGTGTAGGCATCTGGGTTGATGATGGACGCACCTGGAGCATGGGGTCTGAGAGGGCAAAAGGAATTTCAGTGTGTTGCTGCAGCAGGACAAGATTCAGCCCTGGCCATGCTCTGAGGACCCAACTGTTTTTATTTTGCACTCTCTGCAGGACCAACTACATAGCTACATGCTGGGTTTCCCCCAGAGCCAAGCCTGAGGTGGATGGCTCCCCAGATGCAGGTGCTCCAGGAGGAAATGTACACACAGCTACTGAGCCACCTTTCCCTCTATGGGCCTAATCCAAGGGGCAGAGGAACCATGTGAATGATCCCAAATCCCCCAGTACTTCTCTTTCTGAAAGGCAAAGGATCATGGACAGAGCCAGGGACAAATACAGCCATACAAATTCAATCTCCTTCACCCCAGGAGAAGACCCCCTCCACTGTGCTTGATCTTGACCCTCTTTCTTTACTGGCTGCATCTGCTGGTGGAGAAGGGTGGCTGGCAAAGCCTGCAAAGGGATCCTAGCAGACACAGTGGTCTCTGACCTTATCTTCTCCTGACCATCAGAGATGTGTAGTCCCAGCTCTCTCCAAGATACACCATGATCCCTATGTCATGCCAGCCAACACCAGGATTTGGCAGTCCTGGGAAAACAGACCTTTCTCTCACAGACAAAAACAAAGTAAAAATAAAATATTCCCAATGTGACATGTTTCCCTCACAGTGAGTTGTGGGACAAAATTTGCCATTGGAAAGGACCTCCTAGGCTGCTGCAGTCACTCATCCACAAGAACCAAAGCCTCTAATCCCATTAAGAAACTTATCTTTCTTGATGGACAAAAAAGCTTTCTCTCATCAAACGTCTATTCTGATGGAAATCTTTATACCAGAACTCTTTCTGTCTCACAAAGGGCCAGGGTGCAATCTAAGCCTTTGATGTTGTGTTTGGAGTATAATGAAAGGCATTAATTTGAATAGAATTATTGAAATGGCATGTCTGTTTCTGCTATTAATAGAAAAGTCTTAAAACAATGAGCAGCAGAGATGGGGTCTACTGCAGTGAGCAGGAACAAAGGCAGAGCATTTTGCTCTGGTTGTTGTATTACGGGAATGGCCTGAGGTCTCTAATGCTCTGTTCTGAGCAGAAACAACAAACCTTGCAGGAAGCTGTAAGTGAAAAATCTTCGGACCTGGGCTCTGTCTGGAGATCAAGAGCTGCAGTGCGTCAAAGGAAGCTGCACAGAACAGATTCAAACCAAATCAGGGATGACAGGTCTCCATTTAGCTGGGGAACTCCTTGCCAGAGGGTGCTGTCACTGCTAACAGTTTTCCTGGGTCCAAGGTGAGACTGAATGACTTCACAAAAGAGAGATCCAATAAGGATCAAGACTACAATTCTCTAATATTTGTAGCATGGGGAAAATGCAGGAGAGGAGGATCATACCTGCTTGTCATGATATTATGCCTTCCTTACACATGCACTTTTATGAGGATGCTCAGATATCTGGGCTTTGATCTGACTTAATAAAGTTGTTCTGATAGGCTTCAGTTCTTCTGATCCCTGTATGTAAAGAAGTATTCTTATTTTTATATCTGTGCAGCATAGCATAATAAGCTGAAAATCATAGAACTGACTGGATTCTGTGATAAGAAAATAAAAACCCCAAACAACCCTTCCCCGGGGCTTGAGTTTCTAATGAATTGTCTCTTTGCTTTTTGTGTTTGCTTCCCAGGAACAGGCTTGCAAAGCGATCCAGGGTTCGCTGCTCATGTGCTGGTGTATTCTGAGAGCAGAGCTGGTGAAGTGGGATGAGGCAGCACAGGCTTACCTATGCTGGTTCCCCAATGGGGAGCTCAAAATGGGAGGCATCTTGAAGGTGAAGCTGTCTTCATGGGGTGAAATAAGATAGTTCTTCTGTGGTCCAGGAGGCCGAGGACCTCTCGGGAGGGATGGCAGAAACATGTTCTTGATGCAGAGTGTGATACTGCACCCAGTGGAAGAGGACAAGAAGTACCCTCAAGAAGAAACTACCTAGTGGTATATGTTACAAATCCCACTGGCATTCTCAGTAGCTGTTTTCATGAGGGAAGGGCCACAGGGAGGGATGTGAGCCTATTCCCTGCCTTGCCAGGGGCTTTCTGTGGCTCCCTGGCTCAGGTAACCTCTTCACCTCTATCCACTAACTTTGCCCGTGGAGCTGGTTTGAAAGGCACGGAACGATGCAAGTCCCGGCCACAGCTTTGGAAGAGGCTAACAGCACACAAGGCAGCATGGAGCTTGAGGATCAGCTGCAGGAGGACTCTGGAGAAAACTTGTGCATTCTGGGATATCATTCCCAGCATATCCTTCTGCCCTCCACCATACATGGAGCACGAAGACTGGCCTCACACAGCTGCTATAAAGCCGTGGCACAGCTTTGCTCTCTCCCCAGGACACCAACATCCAGTCTAGCAGTGTTCTCCCTCCTTCAGGTCCTCTGTGGTCCTGGCTTGCACTGTTGGAGTTTGAAAACATGTACACACTGAGGTCCTTGCAGGGCTTTGGCTGAAAATGGTCAAGGCTGGAAATGATCCAGGGTACAAACAGAAAGGAGAGAAACCGGCACTGCGTTTTCAGAGCGGAGGAGCTAAGGACAGGAATGGGAGGCTAATTAGAATTAAAGCTGTGAGATGGGGGAGACCAGAAGCAGCTGAGAACAGGAGGCAGCATCACCGTTTCTGATCTTGGCTGTTCTGGTTTTAATTATATGGCAAGGCATCCCATCCCTTTCATTCACCACGCTGGGGTTTCTTTCTGGTTAGTGACTGCAGACAAGGCCAGTGTAACGTTTTACCTTCCCCAGTTTGGGAGAACAAGGCTGAAGACTTACATCTTCCAATGGGAATGGGCAGCTTGGCAGACAGTGACGTTGTGTGTTGTTCCCATTATGTGTGTGTACCACAAAAAGGAGTCTGCTCTGTCAGTGCCACTGAGCTTTCTGCAGGAGTCGGCCACGCCGGGCAGCCATCTCGCTGGCCGTGCTCCGTGAGCCAACACGACCATCCCCGCGGGAGGATGCTGGATCCATCTGTGGGCCAGAAATCAGCAAACTGGTGGCCGCCATACAACATTTACGGTTTGGGGAGATGCTGCAGTAGCAAAACATATTTTCTTCTCCTCTCTGCAGCAGTAACACAGCCCAGACCCCCTGCCTTGAAAATCCTGAGCTACTATGACTGCTTCATCACTATTACTTTGGCATGCTACTGCAGAGTGATACTAGATAGACTACCCTGCAATGTGAGCAATTTAGGGCATGTCTGTGTGCATTGAAGAGCACAAAACAAATTCCAGCACATTGTGCAGGAGGGTCTGCTGGGAAGCTGGAAGCAGCACACCCATGTTGCATCTCCTTCAAGGATGCAG